TGAACATCTGTGGATTTTGAGTTCGCCATGTCCCTTGATGTTGACTGTTCCTGCACCCATGTCCTTCACCAAGCCCAAAGTCGCTTGAGCATACAAGGAAATCAACAAAGGTGTCTTGCCAGAGTTCAACTCATGTGACTCCAAAGTGCCTGAAATAACTTCATCATTGGTCAAACACATCGCAAACGGCATTCTTCGCATGCCCAAGGTCACCGCATTCGAGGCCAAACCAGTAAACCTCTTCGTTTCCTTGTTAATCCATGGCATGCTCATGCCCTGCTTCCTAAGCCTCTTCTCCATCTCATCTGCCCAATAAGATGAGTGGACCGTGCTGTTGCAACCCTCATCCAACGCTCCCCACACATCCTCTTCGTCTTCTGCATAAATGTCAACAACAGGAAAGTTTTGAACGGACACCGTGTCAGGTTTCATCTCGTCGTCCATCCCGTGATAAGCGACCGCTTCCCAGGGTGGTGATGCTGGCTCACCCCCTTGCGTCACTTCCACTACACAGTCCTGCAGGATGATGTGCAGGTCTGCAGCTGCCAGCTCCTCACCTGCCGCGAGAGATTGGGTCACAACCGCTGAAAACGTACCTACAATTTCCTCCACTTGACTTTCTGACAACCTATGTTGGGCATCTGCTGAAGCAAGTCCTTGTATGATGGGTGCCACAGTGATGTTGGCCTGCTCAACCTGCTTTGATGTTGCCTTCATTTCCTTTCTATCTTCCATGGGCATCTCACTGATGAAGCTAGCACATTGCTTGCACCACACTCGAAACGTCGACCGGGAAGAACCTCTGTGATCAACCAGCTCATGCGGACAGTTCTCAACAGAATGAGTTGGTTTGTCTTCCCGTTTCGTCGTGGTCGCATGGCCACAATCTCTGCAAGTTTTCCGAACCGTGTATCCCGTTGATCCTTGATACGAGAAATACTTGCATTCCACACACTTCTCAAGGGGTGGATTCGGTGGCTTCCTCGACGAAGATGGCTTTTCCATGGGGTTGTACGTACCCGGGGGAACAGCTAAAAGCGATCTCTTCGTCAGTGTGCTTCCCTCAACAACGTAATGCTTCATGACCCAGCTGAGGAAAGATTGCAAAACCTGCGATGGCTTCTTCTGTGACAATCCCCATGCTACATACTGAGGGTTTTGAATGACAATTTGCCGATATGTCATTCCCTTGTACTTCCCGAGAAGCATCCTCTGCTCACCGCCTTCCAGGTCCTCATCCATCTCCCCCTCACGAACCACGATTCGAGCTCTGTTGTTTCTCGTGACTGCATCTTGATCCTCGGAAGGGGTATTCATGGGAATGGGCACAGGGTCAGACGATCTAGGTGGGCTCCGTGGAACAGGCACAGAATCCGACGCATTCGCCTTTGTGTAACCCTTGCCTGATCTAGACGACCTGGAATTGGACACTACCAGAGCCACGCCTTCAGGTGCCTGACCTGCCTGCAAGCAAATCTCGTGATCACTTGAAGTGTCACTGTCATAAACCACATATGCTGATCCAGCAGGCTTGTCACCTTTCCCTTTTGGGCCCGGAAATTTGCAATCAGGGTCACCGGCCCAGTGGCCGTGCCCTCCACACCTGAGGCATTTGCTTCTCTTCTTCAACTCTTGCAACTTTGATCGGCGCTGTTCCAGTGTCAGATGTGACCGAACCAACTTTCCTTTCCCTTTTCCTTTCGGTCCTTTTCCCCCTTTTCCTTTGGCCTTACCAAAGGCGGCATTCGCTGCCAGCTGCAGCTGAATGGCTTCTCCGACACTGAGCGGATCACTGCTCTCCGCATCCAACTCTTCCATGGCGTTGAGAGCAGTGGCCACCTATCTCTTCAAACTCGCCATAATCGAGCACCTCTTCAGGATCGGTCATCGGTGTTTTGTCAACACCACCGTCCACTGTGTACCCGAAACCTTCATCTTCAGCTTCTTCATGCGGATTCATGGGCTCCCCTTCTTCCCATTCAGGATACCCTGACCAAGCTGGAAGCGCGGACCTTCGCCAGTACCCACTGCCAGACGAAGATGAAGAGCTGTGAAAAGAAGACTTTCCCTTACCTTTTGTCTGATAGCCTCCTTTCCCAGTCGAAGACGGGCCCAGCACTCTTCCTTCTCGAAGATGTACTCCACCGTAATTCCTGATCAGGGCCTCTTCAACCTTGCTTAGCTCTCTTCCGCCCTCCGAACAGGCTCTGATCACAAGGATCTCTTGGTGTGAGATGTTCGCCAACTCAGACAACGACAGCGTTGGATCCATCTCCACAAGGGTCCTCCACCATCTGCGCCTTCGAGAAATGTACGAGATCATACTCTCCCCTCTCTGCCGGGAAAGTGCTCCTTGAGGTTTCTGACCAACACGAAACAGCTCACGAGCTTCCTCAGTGGCTCTTGGGAAAACCATGTCTCTCATTTGCTTGATCAAATTCTCAACACCTTGCGGCTCACTCAAGGCGTCAAGTCCGAGATCACGGGCCACCAAGAACGCATCGCCCCGAAGTCCTTCTACAATCCGGTGCGTGAGCTCCGACCTCGTGTCCCTAAAAGCCTCCTTGGCCTCCTCAGCTTCTGCAGAACCACCTTCTTCTTCTTCTCCTTCTTCTTTCACAGTCCGCTTGGCTGTTTTCTTGGTTCTCAGAAACTCCTCATACATCCTCAGGCGAAGCTTGGTGCGGAATTCCCAATCATGGAAACCAGCGGGGTCTCCACCATAGATGTATGAACCACTCCGAGTTTCAGCAGGGTCTGTTGCACGAGCGCCGTGGTCCGGGCTGAAACGAAGCCCGGCCACTGACATGACCTACCGCCCTGACTTGCCCGGAGTCGTTCAACCAACGCTCCGCTACCAATGTGAATGTAGCAAGCAAATCGGGCTCTCACTTTTCGCTTCGAGCGCTATGACTCAAGGGCCCTCGTACCAGAATGGCCCGGTCATGTACAACATGTTCAACACCCTGGCTTCAAACTATACAATTTACAGGGAGAATTCACACCTTCCTTTTTGTGGACGACCTTCTGTGTGCACTCTTCCGAGATAGCGCACCAGATATGTTTGCCTTGGTGGTGCTTTTCTTTTGCGCCATTGCGGCGCCAATTTCATGGAAAAAGGCGCAATTCCAGGACAGCCTTGTTTGGTGCGGCTGGGAGATCAACTTCTCCCACGACACCATTCAGCTCGTGTCCGCTAAGCTGACCAAGCTCGCATACGCTTCAGCCCTGCGGGCCTAGCAATGTCAGGCCGAGGCATTCAGCTGTGTCCGATGGATGCGCCCTGGCGCCCGGAACACCTGGCAGCTGCCTCCAGCACTGCTTAGCCAGCCTTATTTGCATCCCAACATGCATTGCGACCAAATGGCCGTCTTCGCCCTGTCAGCCAGAACAACTGGCTGCGTCAGCCAGCCGCTTACATCAAGCCGCTCTGACCGAAAAAAGTGCAGACCCTGAGCAACAGGCTGCTCACAGCCGCAAGCGTGCATTGTCACGCGGACATTTGCCCTGCCAGGTACAACCCCACTCTGAAGGGCGGGTGATGAGGCCGGCGGCCCAGCTGGCTCGCTTATACCGGGGTTGCCTGAAACACTGAAGGGGGGGTCAACGCACCTCCTGTTCCAGGCGCACCAGTGCCCTGGAAGCAGTGCTACTTTCAGCAATCCCGGTAAAAAGAACTGCGGCCGCTTCGGACTTGCTTTGTTCTTTTGGGGGTTCATGTTTGGGTTCAAGCTAGGAGCAGTGCAACATGCCTTAACGCTTAGGGTTTCTTTTCCCTTGTGTTTAGGGCATGTTGTGAATCGAACTACGCGGTGGCCGCTTTGCTCCTAGCCTTGGCCCAAACCTGCGGTTTCATTTGAAACCCACCCACCCACCCTGCACTGCCTTATACAAGGCTCTGCAAGTATAGGTCGCAGACGCTCTGCACTTTCGTTGGTGGTCTCCGGACCTCTTGGTCTCCGGACCAGGTCTCCGGACCAACTCTGGTCTCCGGACCATTCAGTCTCCGGACCTTGGGCGCGGGCACGCATGCCACGCCCTGCAAGCACTGCATTCATTTGCAAGGACACGCGTTGTCTTGCCCGTTTTAGTTTCACGGGGGGTCAACGCACCTCCTGTTCCAGGCGCACCAGTGCCCTGGAAGCAGTGCTACTTTCAGCAATCCCGGTAAAATGTTCTTTTGGGGGTTCATGTTTGGGTTCAAGCTAGGAGCAGTGCAACATGCCTTAACTAAGAATTTTTGGGGTGCCTCAGTGATCCTTTTTTTGGCACAAAAAATGCACTTTTACTTCAATAAGTTGCATTTTGGGGCAAGTGATCCAATTTCGATTTGAAAAACACCTCTTGGGGTGCCCAAGTGATCTGGGGTGCCCAAGTGAACCGTTTTAGGGTGCCTAAAAAATATCATCCGACTAATTGAGCCAACTTGCCGCGAGCGTGCTGTTTGTTGGGATGCATCTTTCTACTTCTCCTCGATTCTCATGTTTGGCATGCTTCCACAAATGGACGAGCTCGTTTTGGTTGAAACCAAGTAGGCGGGCCTAGTAGCGGACTGTTGTTCTCAGGTTGAGCCAGGTTGGGCCAAAGATTTGTTTTAATCATGTTTGTTTAAAACAGTGTTGTTTAAACAACGTTTTTTTGGTTTCCCTTTGACAGGGACAAAGGAATGGGGAGACCCGGAACAACTGCGACTTGGAAAGCGCTTTGCCAAACGTGGGTTTTTGAACGCATTTGCCAACACATCGAAAACGGTGCCAAATCGGGATATACCAACACATCCGTATGCGGTTCATGTTCAGATCGATGCGCATTCAGCACACGCCATCATGTTAGGAAGGGTGAACATGTTGTTGCAAACTGGGTGCACTTAGGCGTATAACGACTGAAATCAACCCTAAAGATACGTTTGTTGGTTTTGACAGCTTTGGAACAACAATGGAATTCGGCGTGGTGCTTCAAAACTATGCTTGTGTTGTTTTTCTTGCAAAAAAACCATTTGCAGCGGTTTGGCTCACAACGCAGTGCACATTTTGATCAGGCTTTTGCCCGGAATCCCAGATCGAGCCTGAAGTTGGTGCTCGTGAAACATCGCGAAACCCTTTCAAACTGTCTTCAAACATGTTTTGCACTTTCATGTTGGTTTCGCGTGTGAAAATAATTGGCTTGCACTGCTTCACCCGTATGAGGTGTTTGGAGTTCCCGTTGTGTGGGGGTGACGGCAGAAAGTTTCGACTGGAACTTGGTGAGCTGGCTCTCAGGCAGGCTCTTGAAACCCATGCTGAAGTATCTGCTAGCCGGCGGCCCAGACGGGGGGTTGCCTTGTCACAATTTTCGCGTTCTTGGTTGGGCTTGAGGGCAAACGAGGATTTTTCTGAACAAGGTCGCAAACCAAAAACACGCGCAGCAGCGATTGTGACTGGCGATACTTCTGATATAACAATTACCGGTTCGATAGAGTTTGAGGAAAACCCCGCATCCTAGCAGTGAACCAAACTGAGGAGATGTATTTGAGTGACTTACCAATGGTGCAAAACGTTCTCGGGATTGACCTTGATGTGTGAGAGGGTAACCGGGCCAGCGGCTTTGACCGGGGAATAAATTTGGGCGTCCTTCCTAGAAATGGGCTCCGGTCTGATTTGGGTTTGTTCTTGGGTGGGCTTAAGTTTAGTTTACAATGAGTACGGGACGTATGCCGGGCAGATTTTGCATTCATGTCAGTTTAGTCATGATTTTGGGCATGCAGGGCTTGTGAAAGCTCTACTCAGTGCGGCTGCAAAGCCAGGCAAATGATGGGTTTCAGGTTTGTTCAATTGTTCTACCTATAGTTGCAAGATCGAACCCTTGAAAAAGGGGTCTTACAATGAATCTTGTTTGGCCCTATTAGGTGCTATTGGCCAGCCGTGTTCAACCTTGGTAAAGTTGATTCACCTTCATGCTCCTGCCTTCCTGTCTGCCTGCCTTCACACCATCCTGTTTTTTTGCTTCACGTCATCGCTGTTTGCTTGCGTGCCTTGGCTGGCTGACCGGCTTGCTCGGGCTGGCTGGCTTGCTTGCCTCCCTTCGGCCGGAGAAAACTCAAGCTGGATTCAAACATAAGCTTGAAGCCATGTGTTTTAAATTAACCTGAGATTCCCATGCTGAAGCTTTTCCCATGCCCACCTCTGTCACACGCAGAAAAACTCCGAAAGACGGGAGGTTCTCTCCATGCCACGGGACAGCAAACACATGAATACAACACAACCAAATACAGCTCAATTTTGCAGAGAAAATGGCCAGCCAAGCTCAACACCATGTGGTTTTGGATCAATTGCATTCTGCCAGTAACTTGGGACTCACCAATAATTTTTAGCCCTTTCTTGACCGCCATTGGGTTTGATCTTTAGACTTTAACTTCTTAGGAAATCAAGGGGCTTTCCACGAAACAACCGAAAAGTCAAACTTTTTGCAGGGGGGTCAACAGCAACCAAGCTTTTGCGGCAACCAAATTGCAAGGCCTTTGTGGCGGTCAAGGCGGACGTGTACGTGCACCACGGGGATGACCACGTGGTCCATCACGTGCATCACGTGGTGCACCACGTGTATCATGTGCACCACGTGTACGAGTCTGGGGGCCACGGCGGCCACGGTGCGCACTCTGGGGTCTTCTGGGCTGGGCCTGGCCACTTCGCAGCAATCTTTTTTTTCCTTTTTTTTCTTCTTCATTTTTTCTTCTTCCCCTTTTGGCGAAGGCGATGCCTCAGATGCCTTTGCTTGTGCCGAGGCGAGTTCTGTGGAATGGCGGCCTGGAAGCAACCAGGTAAAGTGTAACATGGCGATTCTGGAGGGTTTGCATGCCTTCACCACATTCCCAAGGCTGACAACCACCAGAAGCACAAATGTTCTGGCAGTATGCAATGCAGCTCGATGGCAACAATCCATTCTGAGAGGTTGCATTCTGGAACACCTGACCTTTCCTTGGGCCGCACTTCGCATGAGCAGCATCATGCTGACGCTCACCGTCAGGCCGCTTGGGGCGCTGTGGTGGAGGTACTGTCGGAGCCTGAGACACATTCCTTCCTCTGGCAATTAAGTGCAGTTCAGGCTCATCCTCAGCCTGTTCCTCAGCCTGTTCCTCAGCCTCTTCCTCGGCCGCTTCCTCAACCTCTTCCTCAGCCTCTTCCTGCCGGAGCCACAGAGCGATTCTTACTCACTCACTCTGGCCTCATGATTTTACCATGATCAAAGTGACCCCCGAAGTGGGTTAAGGGAAACCGATTCCATTTTCCGACTTTCACCCCCAACCGTCATTTTTTTTTGACCCCAGTCGCTCAGTTGAGTGCTCACTTCAGGCTCAGCCGCTTTCGGAGCACCACATCAGCCACGCCAACGCACAAGTCTGGATAGGCCTGGAAATCCTAACGGTCTTCAGTTCGTGCAGAGACGGTTGTGCCTATCTGGGTTTGCCTTTGTGCCTGACAAGATACATTCATATGCCCGTGTGCCCATCCCGGTGTCTCTGTTTGTTTGTTTGTTTGTTTGTTTGTTTGTTTGTTTGTTTGTTTGTTTGTTTGTTTGCGTGTTTGTTTGTTGGTTTGTTTGTTTGTTTGTTTGTTTGCTTGTTTGCGTGTTTGTTTGTTGGTTTGTTTGGTTTGTTGGTTTGTTGGTTTGTTGGTTTGTTGGTTTGTTTGTTTGTTTGTTTGTTTGTTTGTTGGTTTGTTGGTTTGTTTGTTTGTTGGTTTGTTTGTCTGTCTGTCTGTCTGTCTGTCTGTCTGTCTCTCTGTCTCTCTGTCAGTCAGTCAGTCAGTCAGTCTGTCTGTTGTTTGTTTGTCTGTCTGTCTGTTTGTTTGTTTGCCTGCCTGCCTGCCTGCCTGCCTGCCTACCTGCCTGCCTGTGTGTCTGTCTGTCTGTGGGTCTGTCCGTCCGTTCGTCTGTCTGTCTGTCTCCGTCTGTTTGTTTGTTTGTTTGTTTGTTTGTTTGTTTGTTTGTTTGTTAGCTTGTTAGCTGGTTGGGCTTTGATGTTTCTTAGTTTGCTAATCTCTTGGTCAGGTCAAGTCAAGCCAGGTTTAGTAAAGGTAAGTTAGTTCCATTGGTTCATTGTTTTGTTTGCTTGGTCATTTGTTTGTGCATTTGTCTGCTCATTTGTTTGTGTTTGCTTATATATTTGTTTGATGTATTTGTTTATTTATCCATCCTGTTTGGATTTGATTTGATTGTTTGATTTTGGTTTGGTTTGGCTTGATTTGATTTGATTTAGTTTGGTCTGAATTGTTTTTATTGGATTTGACGTGATAGATTACCCGCCCGCCCGCCCGCCCACCCACTCCACCCACCCACGCCAGCCCCACCCCAGACACAGACAGACACAGACAGACACAGACACAGACACAGACACAGACACAGACACACTTAGACACAGACAGATAGACAGCATGCCACCTATTGAAGTCACGCTTCCTCGTACTGGTTGATGTTTGCATTTGTTTCTACACCGCGAAAAGAGCGGACTCCTTTTGAGGTGTTCCTCGTTTGCTTTGAGCGTGTTCGTCAGGCGCAGACCCCGAGACGTACCTCCCGGAGAGCGCGTTTTGCAGCGGCACCACGGGTCTGGGAGCGGGCGAGAAGCCGTGCGCAGGGCAGCCTGGACAAACGCTGCACGTGTGGGCACCATATCGGACCTACAAAAACGGGGCCACAATCAGAGCCCGGGAAAGCGAAGCTTAACGGATGCCCTGGCCAGAAAATAGCCGCCGCCTTCTTCGTCTACATGGGCTCTGGGATTACGACCATTTTGGGTACCGAATCGGTTTTGATGGTGACTCCTGTGAGCAGAATTCTGGGCAAAGTGGTGTGAGAATGTATGTGCTTGGAACCTGAAGTTCCTTTTGGCACCGGGCCCTTGCTATGTTCCCGTGCCAACGGTTGAGAGCTGACCCCGGGTTGTCGGCGGCTGAGCGGGTTACGTGCCACCAAGACTTGGTTTTATTGACGAAGATCACAGTGTGTTTTGGCGGGGGGGTCTTTTTTTTTGTCAAACAAATACGCCGTCGAGAAAGACGACTAGTTGGCATGGTCGGGTTGCGAAAGAGAGGCTGAAAAGGGGGGGGGGTGCTGCACGGGTTTCAGGTGGAGCTGCGAAAGCGCTTTCTGGCTTGTTGAGTGGTTAACTTGCTGATGAGTTTGCACCGGAGTATGCCACCATCGTGTGGTTGACAACGGTTGACATTATATACAAGGTTGAACAACCAGTTTCAGGAGAGACGAGCCGCACAAGAACTAGGTTTGCCATTTCTTTCCATGTTTCCTTTATAAACGAGGACACCAACCACTCGGATGGGGGAACAACATATCCGAATTCAACCATGTTAGGCAGGTGTTTCTTCTTACGCCTGAACACCTGAGGCCCCTTGGCTGAAGTGCTATGCTCAGGCACCGCTTGCGTTTGGCTGATGCACATTGGGTTGGCATGTTCCTGGCGGCAACCGCATGGGGGTTTCTGAAACACTGCTTATTGAACCTGTCTAAAAGGGAAACACCCCATGTTTAGAGGCCCGCTGTTTTGGAAATACCTTACGGGCATGAATTAGCACTACTGCGGCTGGACCGGGAAGGCTTGGAGTTTGTGAAATGTCGACTCTTTCGCTTGGCGCAACTGATAGCACGATAATACGAAAGGTTGCGGACCTGTTTATAAAAAATGCCGTTTTGGAGGTGGCCGCGGACACGAAGGTCGCCTCCGGGAAGTGCCTGGCAGCAGAGGCGGGGTTTTGAGGTGAAGTTCAGTGCGGGGCTGGAGCCAAACCTCGAGCGAGGTGCCGTTGGGCAATCGCTGTGGCCAGGCAGGGTTCGCGACGCGAAAGTTGCGTTTGGAGCGGCTTCGATCGGACCTAGGCTCCCACCAAGTACAGCTACATCAACGTGGGCCGCTGCCCGGTGGACTCGCACTGCGAAGCGGAGCCTTGCCTAAGAAGCAAGCGGCTGTCAAAGACTTCCTTTGAGAACCACATGACCTGCAACAGCTCAGGATGCTGTCGTCAACCCAGGCGGGGGATGTGACGGGTGTCCTGGCGACAGATATCGGAAGCATCTCTTACTTGAGGCATGCTGGGCCGGGGATTCTGCCAGCAGACTCCGCCGGGCTCCCGAGTGATCAGACGCCGAAGAAGTTCAAGGGTCAAGGCAATCTGCTCTCACGAGAAAAACAAATAGTTGATCGGATGGCTCCCAACTGACTGAGGCTGGAGTGGGTGGAGGATAAGCTGAATATCGTCAATTAAGGACCGCTGGGCTGTAGCATTGTGATCAACATGCTGCTTCGCACCCAGGAGTGGCCTCGATTTGTCCTGGTGCCAATGGGAGCCAGCGCAGCGTTGCCCGCTCAAGCATGACCCGGCGCGTCGGGTCGATGCAAGCTTGTCACCGCACTTTTTCTGGTTTGTGCATTTCATCTTCGGGGGACCACTGATTCAGTGGTTTTTGTGCTCAGCTCTCATCAAAGGAAGCTGAGCACGAAATCCCGGTGATTGGTTTGTTGGTTTCACACAACATCACCAAGCAGGCAAAAACCGCGCTGCTGGTGGGTCAGAAGTTGCAGCTCCGGAAGCAAGGCATTTGGCATGTTGCCTCTTGGGGAAGATGCAATCAAGTGAAGCAAGGGAGACAGCTGGAGCAGTTTTTTGATTTCAGGGGAGGAAGTATGTGGGATCAGCATTCATTTGAGTCAAGCCGGTCTCATAGCGATGATCAGAGTTAAAAATAGAAACAATTTGTCCGTATGCTGATCAAAGCTGTTTGAGCACTCTGGTCAGCGAGGCCGTGTCAATTTTATGGTTGCCATGCAGCTTCTGCAGCTTTGGAACTTCTTTGCTGCACTGTATACTGGCCGTGAAGTACCCGCATGCTTGAAAAGACAAGCTGCGGACTGGCATGCGAGGCTTGTTTTGGGATGGCAACGGCATGAGAGACAGCATGTTGTCGATGCAACATTGACAGGAGTGGTGCAGCATGGCTCCAGCATGTGGCAGACTGGCATCCAAGCTTTTTGCCCGCGCAGAAGCATACAACACTAGGCATCGTTTGAGCATTCCTGACTGGAGTTTGGTACAATGTACCATGAGCTCTAGGCCTCTAGTCGACTCTGGCATTCACCTAACTTGTTTCGAGCGAGTTCACAGATCTTTCCATGCCACAAGCAGAACTCTTTGCGCGAAGCTTTGCCACATGAAGGGCTATCAGGCGCAAGCTCCGGGAATGGAGCTGTTCGGGGTTGAGTGTGTTGGCCAGGGCAAGAGTATGCCGCACATGTACGGCCCGGCGGGGGCCTTGTTTGCGCATGAGATGGCCACTTTACCAGGCGCCGGCTGTGTCTTACGCCCACGGCTACCCTTGACGGCTACCCGGGTGTCGTCGTGTGCGTCGCTTCGCGCCCAGGTGGAGAACCGCGTTTATGTCAGCAACCTGCCGTGGGACATCGCATGGCAGGACTTGAAGGACCCGAAGAATGAGACATGGCGTGCGGGTCGTGTTTGGCAAAGGACCACCAAGAGGAAAAGGAATTTGAGCAATTTTGGGGAGGGCCGTGCTCCAGAGGATCACATGAAGACCGTGGGGGAAGTCGTCTATGCGGACCTCTTCACTGAGGCGACGAGACGATTTCTGTCCCCCTTTGTCTGTCTGTCTCTGTCTGTCTCTGTCTGTCTGTCTGTCTCTGTCTGTCTCTGTCTGTGTCTGTCTCTGTCTGTCTGTCTGTCTCTGTCTGTCTGTGTCTGTGTCTGTCTGTTTGTCTGTGTCTGTGTCTGTGTCTGTGTCTGTGTCTGTGTCTGTGTCTGTGTCTGTGTCTGTGTGTGTCTGTGTGTGTCTGTGTGTGTCTGTGTGTGTGTGTGTGTGTCTGTGTCTGTGTGTGTGTGTGTCTGTGTGTGTGTGTGTGTGTGTCTGTGTCTGTCCCTGTCTGTGTCCCTGTCTGTGTCTGTGTCTGTCCCTGTCTGTGTGTGTGTCTCTGTCTCTGTCTCTGTCTGTGTCTGTCTGTGTCTGTCTGTCTCTGTCTCTGTCTGTATCTCTGTCTCTGTCTCTGTCTGTATCTCTGTCTCTGTCTGTGTCTGTATCTCTGTCTCTGTCTGTGTCTGTGTCTGCGTCTGCGTCTGTGTCTGTGTCTGTGTCTGTGTCTGTGTCTGTCTGTGTCTGTGTCTGTGTCTGTGTCTGTGTCTGTGTCTGTGTCTGTCTGTTTGTTTGTTTGTTTGTTTCTGTGCTTTTTTCTTTTTCTCGTTTGTTCTTTCTCTCTCTCGGCTCGCCAGGGCGGCCGCTCGCGGGGCTGCGCCCTGGTGTCCTTTAAGTCTCGGGAGGATGCCCGACGAGCAGCGGGGGGCCTTGTCTTGTTCGGCCATTCACAAGGCCTCTGGGCCCGAGACCATATTTTGCCCCACCCTGCTGAGATGACAACGAATCCCAGAAACACAGCATGAATCAACGGCTCGCGAGACAAGCCTTCGCTCAACCATCAACAATCCAACACCTGACAGGCAACAGGGACAGTTAAGCCAGTCAGCTGCTTTTTGTGCCCCCCTGAGCTGCAAATGCACTTCGAGTGGCGGAGGTCGTTGAACTCAATGACACCGACCTGGGCGGGAGAACGATCATTGTGCGCGAGGCGGGGTCGCAGCTTGAACGGACCCGGGCCGGGTGTGGCTCAAGTGGTATCCAACATGGCAGCTTTAAGTACGTGGAAGCAACGACAAAAACCCCGCGTACACCGCGGCTGAATTTCGAGCCACACTCTTGGGCGCGCTGGCCACAGGACCGCGTGGATCAATCGAGTGGTCCACAGGCTCGGGCAGGGAACCAGTCGACGTTTCTCTTCCACAAGTTGGAGCCTGCCCAGTTTCTTGCATGTGCTCAATGCTTGAGCTTCTGAAAGGATTGCCGCGTCTACGTCGGGAACCTCTCGTGGCAGGCAACATGGAAGGCGCTGCTGTTCCGCCCTTGTGCTTTGCGGTCGCCGGAGAGAGACAGTTCTCTGGTTTCAACAGGGAAGCAAAAGCAGATACGTGGCCACCTGCCAGGACTTGAAGGACCACTGCCGTGCCGTGGGCGAGGCGGGCCCCAAACATGAGGCTTTGAGGCTTCCTGTGAGGCTCTTCGCGCTCAGTTCAGCCACGTGAAAGCTGCATCCGACAGGGGTCGCTTCAAGGCCGGGCCCTGCGAGGTGAGAAGAGCTGACGTGGTGGATCGAGATGGCCGCTCCAAGGGTCAGGGTGCCTATGGCGATAGCCGTGCTTTGCCGTGAGCGGTCTTTGCGGCACCTCCCGGGTCTCGGTGTGCTCGGATGGTGTCGGTGTGCCGGTCTTCTTGTGGCGTCCTGGTTGTGTCCTGGAGGTGGCGCCTATGGTGTTCCAGTCGTTTGGTTGAACGCTGTGCTGGGCACGACTCCAAACCAGGCACGTCCTACCTTTATGATGAAGGTCGCCTGAGCGAAACTGGTGGAGTTTATGCTGCTTCGAATGTTGTTTTTGTGAAAAGCAGGATGTAGGTCATTCCTGCTTTCGACGGAATCCCCCGCATATTTGAAGGTCAGCTGAAAGGACACCATGTATGAATTTCCCCCAACCAAATCCGCCCTTTGATTTTGCTCAGGTTGCAAGGCTGTGTTGTTTTGAGGGTACCCAATTTTGGTGTGACCAACTTCAGCGCTGGCTGTTGGCGGGAAGGATTTGAGGCTTCAATTTTCATTCTGATGTTGGGCTCTTCAAGTCCCAAGGATTTGGTATCGTGGAGTTTGCCACCCCGGCAGAGGTGGGGACCTCAAATCTTTCTCTGTGTCTTTTTTGGGTGGTACCCCAGTTTTTTTGGGTGGTTTTGCAAGGGAAACCAAAAGGACATCAGCCATTTTGGAGGTTCCAACCTGACAAATTAGACAGGCCCAAGAAATGACGCCGCGGGCTCGCCAGGCGCAGGCTGCTGTGGAGGAGCTTTCTGGTACAGAGATCCTGGGTGCTTCGCTGAGATGCATGGCGCGCCTCAAAGTCCACTTACCAGGGTGCCCCTTGCAGCCATCTGGGTGTGGCTCAAAATTTTACAGCTAGGGGTACAATTTTTAGGCTTTGGTTCCATTTACCAAGGTGCCATTTTGGTATTTTTACTTCAGAGCCACAGCCGTTTGGCATGTAAGTCTTGGTCGTAGCATCCGGAAGTGGCCGGATAGGCCGCCAGATCTTCGTGCGAGAGGATCGCGAGCTTCAGCCTCAGAGGTCTGCAATGAGACTCGGAAGGCAGCGAGGTAGCTTGCTTTTGTGCTCAAGAGCAATCGAGCCATTTGGATTCTGTGGATGTGGGCACAAGACGGCGCTGGACCCATCCGATGTCGCCATGAGTTGAATACACGTGTGTGTGTGTGTGTATGTATGTGTGTGGGGGTGGGTGTGAGTCTTGGAATACCTGATGCTAGATGCGTCCTGTGTTGTTGTGGTTCTGCACTTTGTGCATCTGTTGACCAGCGGGGACCATGACATCATACTTTTCTTGAGCATGGCTTTGTTTGGACGCGGCAGAACAGTCTTCAGCAAGACTTTTCCGATTGAAGCGGGCGATGCCGCGCATGTTGCGAGGTCGAGGCCGAGCGTGGGGAGGCTTAGACTGATGGTCTCAAGGGTTCTTGTCTGCTTTCTTGCTGGTGGCTGGGTGGCTTGGTGGCTGTCTTGCTGGCTTGCTGGCTTGCGGGTGGCTGGGTGGCTGGGTGGCTGGGTGGCTGGCTGTCTTGGTTTCCATTTCCTCTCAAGTATGAACCTAAGATTAGCTCAGTACAAGGCTTCTCGGAAAGCCATCAAGCCCAAATGGATATGCCGGGGATCATTTTCGGGCCCGACTTTGGATCCAAGCTTGGACCTTTGATCTGAAAGAGATTGCCAGATCGTTTGAAATATGTGGAAGGATCGCTGCAAGATGAACTGGAGAGCTTTTTTGGTCGTTGGTTCTTGCTCAGGCACAGGCGGACCACAGGGCTTGGTGCCTAAGCTGTCCTACACTTGTCTTGAGCCACCTTCCATTTCTGTCCCTTGTCAATTTTCGAAGTCTTTCTGGACTGCGATGGCACCTTCTTTGCTTGCCATCTGGTTGGATTTGGCACTGCTTGCAGACGCTGAGGCTTGGAGAGGCGTGCTCGATACCTTCTTTACACGCATATCGCAGTTGGTTTTCTTTGACCCGTTTGAGCGCATTGAAAGAACGGGCCACTCTCATGTCTTGGGTCTTCTCCGCTCGGATGCCAGGAGCTCCCAGCTACGATGCTGCTGCCCTAGTCAACCTGCATGACTGGGGGTTCCGACACGAAGCCTTTCCCTAGTATGGCCACTACGACGACTACTACGACAGCTATGACTACGACTACGGCTATGGCACAGGCCCTGATGGTGATCTCACAAGTCCTGGTTTGAGCGGCCTTGGTTGAGCCTGGCCAGGCGAGGCCTCCACCAAAGTCTTCGTGGGCAACCTGTGCAGACCTCACACGGGGCAATGCACCCGCAGAGAGAGTGTGCTGCAAGGCCATACACGGTCACATGGCAGCAATTGAAGGCGGGCTTGTTTCCATTTTTGACCGGCCCAGTTCGGTTCTTCCATTCCAACTAAAAGGACCAGTTTGGAAAG